TTTTTTTTTTAGCTGTAAGCTCCACAAGATCTTGTATATATTTCCCTGTGCTATCGAAACGTCTCTTTCTTAAACTGTAAAATGTGATTTTTTTTTTTTGCCTTTTTAACAAGCCATTTGCCTCTTCTTTCTTTAGGTGTGGGCCTGAAATCCAGGCCCAGTCAGGGCAATGTGAAGGAAGCTGGTCTAGTTACTCTGGTGAGTCCTCCCCCATCATAAAGAAATATACACATACACACAAATACGGCGGGGCTGTCTTCTCTGCCTCTGGACCTTCTCTGAGGATGTGGTGTCTGGAAGTTGGCAGCATCTTGAAACCGTGGTGGTTGCTAATCTGAGGACAAGGCCCAGGAGAATGGCAGAGAGAAAAACTAGACACAAATTGGACCTTGATGGTTGCATTCCGTTAGCCACCTCTGGAGCTGCATATCTCTGGAGTTCTTCAGCGAGACGTTGCATGTCTTAATGCTTAAGCCAGCAGCACCAAGGTTTTCTATTGTTTACAGGCAAAAACATATGAAATGACTTACTGCCGCATAGATTTGAGTAGAATAAATGAAGTCATTCCTGTCAAGTGTTTAACACTGTGAAGTATTAACACTGATCATCAATAGAACACTTTATTGTGAAATTATATACTGCTTTCTTCTTAACTAATATGTGTCCTATTTCTTCAAATGTATATGACAACATTTTTGGCAAGAATCTAAGATTCTGCATCTTTGGTGCCCAACTCAGTTGCCAAACAAAATGCATAGTAGATGTTTAATATCTGTTTCATAATTAATCTATACATATATACTTTTTTTCCTCTAAATGTAACCCTGATGGACAATATAATCCAGCTGCCCTTGTTAGCTGGGTGGAGATCCTGTCCTCAAGAAGTCAGTTTTATTTTGCCACTGAGCAGTGAATTCCAAAAGAATCTAAGCAATTTGAAAAAAGGGAATAGGCCAGACCTTTGTAAAACTGGAAGGTTCCAGAGTCACAGGCGGTCGGGGCTGGGGAGGGCCTGGGGATCATCTGGTCTATCTTCCTCGCTTTACAGCTGAGGCCCAGAGACCTCCTTATGGTCACGCAGCCAAGGGCCAGGCCAGGACTGGACTTCACCCTCCAGCCTCCGCCTCAGTCCCTTTCCTTTCTGTGTCATTACTTTCTCAACTTTCTCCAGAGTCAGCTTCTCTTACAACCTGAATAAAGAGGACACCGTCTCCCCAGAGGCTGTCTGGGCTGCTGGAAACCCGTGAGAATCCGTGGGAATCTGCGCATCCACTTCCTACCAAGGTCGTTCTGCAGAGTTGTTGCCAGAGACCAGGTGGCCTGGCATGAGATCTGAGACTCGGCATCCTTTGCTGTCTGCAAACATCAGCCCCTCATCCCCAAGGGGTCACTGAGGGCCAGGAGTGGGAAGAGGCTTCTAGGAAGAGATCAGTCCTGGCCTGGGGTGCTGGTAACGAGGGCCGTGCACAGGCAAGCACAGCCCTGCAGGCTGGGCAGCTCCATCCATCCCGGAGCGAGGCTTTAAGCTCTTGAAAGGCCACTGTTCCAGTCTGTCCCCATCTGGTTCTGTGCGTGGCCCACCCTCACCCCACCCCCAAAGCGTGCACAGCCAGAGCTTTGTTCACGCCATTGTCCACAAATGAATGCTCCTACCTACTCTCGGTTGCTCCCCGTCCCAAGTTGTTGGCCAGTTCAGTCTCAGTGCCAATGGCTGCTCCTTTCTCAGAATTAACCACAACCTACCTGATGCTCCCCTGACACTGGGTTTATTCCAGCATCATAAAATTTACTTCAAGATGGCTTTAGCTGGATCTTTCCTACTAGATCAGTGCTTCTCAAACTTTATATGCGAACAAGTCACCTGGAGATCTTGGGAAACAAAGTATATGTCCAGATTCAGGAGGTCTGGTCTGGGGCCTGGGAGCCTGCATTTTTCACAAGCTCCCAAGTGTCGCTGACACTGGTGACCTATGGACCCACGTGGCATGGCAAGTACTTCCTCTGAGTTCCTTGAAGGCAGCTGCCATATCTTACTCATCTTTGTAATACCAGCTTTTAGCATAGTGTCTGGCTGATTATAGCTGGTTTATAAACATTTGTTGAATTGAAATGAAATGGGTTAAGGCACTGGTATCTCTGAAGTGTTTCCTTTAGGTATAAATCTGTGATCTGGGCAGTGTTAGAGGAAGGTTGTAGCCGAGATGGCTGACAGGAGGGTAGGGCAGGGCTTGGGACTCAAAGGAAAGCAGGATAAATCCTGAGTAGGACCAAGACCTCAGCTTTACAAGACTCAGACATTCAGTTTTTTATCAGTCTGTTCAGGATCTGAAGGACTGACTGACACTAATGTATAAACCTGAAGGCCAGTGTATTTATTAACATCAAAGGATATGTCTTTCCACCCATCCAGGCTCCACCCCACTGCCCCACCCCTTGCCTGGGATCAAAGTAGCAAGGGATGGCTTAACTCAGAACATCGACTCAGAACATCAATAACCAAGTGTGCTTGTGGGGAAAATAAAGCAGGTGTGGAAGACCTTGATAGGTTGTCCCTTCTCCAAAAAGATTTCACTTCTGTAATAGAGTATCTATTTTCTCCCAAATATAGTCTTTCACTGGATGAAGACGGATAAGTTCTTGCTTCTAAGCATCTATGTTTCTGGAGTCCGTATTGACCAACTACCCCACTTCAGCCAACACATCCTTCTACTAGGAAGCCCAGCTTCAAAATAATGGACCCACTGACAGCCTTTTCCAGCTGTGCTCTAGTCCTTGAGGGTACATTCAAGCCGGCAAGTTCATGATGGATGTGTGTGTGGTGTCTGGCAGCTCTTGGGGTGGGATGCTTCTGCAGAGATAACTCTGCTCATTTGACACAGACTCTGCTGGACTTCCAATTCTGGGGATGCCTCATTTGGCCTCTCCTCTTGACAATATCCCTGAGGGGCTGGGCAGGGTGGGACAGACCAGCATCCAGCTCGTAGGCCAGCTGGAGTGCTGGGCTCTCCTGTGGCCTTGGAGCCATCAGCCGAGGGGGCTGGCTGGGAGAGAGGGCTCACAACCTTGGCCCATGTACCTTCCCTTTTGCCTGATGACAAGCTGAAGTTCTTTTGTACTTCTTACTGACAGTCAGCTTGTACTTTGTTACTAACTAACCCACTAACCACGTGACATCTTGTGAGTCACTTTTCTCTGAGCTTCAGTTTCTTCCTTTGTGAAAGAGGGGATTTGGAAGAAATAGACCCTATGGTCTCTTCCAGCCCTAAGGTTAACAACTTAAAGTACTTCATATTAATAACCTGCTTTAAAATACAATATTTCATGGGATCCTCACAATTAAACTTCCACATTTACCTATGAGGAGAATGAGTCTTAGAGAAATATCTTAAATATCTTGTCTTAAAAATGGCCTCTTAATATTTATACAGTGGAATACTACACAGCCATAAAAAAGAATAAAATAATGACATTTGCAGCAACATGGATGGACCTGGAGATTGTCATCCTAAGTGAAGTAAGCCAGAAAGAAAAAGAAAAACACCATATGATATCACTTATATGTGGAATCTAAAAAAAGAAAAAAAAGATAATAATGAACTCATCTACAAAACAGAAACAGACTTGCAGACATAGTAAACAATCTTATGGTTATGGGGGAAAGCAGGTGGGAAGGGATAAATTTGGGAGTTCAAGATTTGCAGATATTAACTACTATATATAAAAATAGAATAAAAAACAAATTTCTTCTGTAGAGCATAGGGAACTGTATTCAGTATCTTGTAATAATCTTTAATGAAAAAGAATATGAAAACGAATATATGTATATATATGTATGACTGGGACATTGTGCTGGACAGTGGAAATTGACACATTGTAACTGACTATACTTCAGTTTAAAAAAAAATCCACCTAGTAACTGGCCAGAGTAGGTCTCAAACCCACACTTTCTTAATCACTAGCTGGTAATGTCACCCGGGCCTGGACAAGGAGGCTTTTTTACTTTTCTCCCACCCTTGGGAAAGAAGGCACAGCCTTCTGACTCCCTCACTCTCCCCTCTCCTCACGTCTCCTTTCCAGGATTTGGGCTGTGCTCACCCTCTTTGTCTTCTTTCTGTGGAGGTCTCCACATTCTCCCTCAGCTTCCTCCATCTCCCTTTCTCTCTTCCACCTTCCCTGCCCTCCTCTGCCCTCCCTGTCCTCCCTGCCCTCCTCCTGCGTGCCAGCCTGTCTTGGTGGGTTTTGCTTTTATGAAGATGTCACCCCCACGCTCCTGTGTGAATCTTGGGGTCAGTGAGGGCAGGAAGGTAGCATCCAGGTGTGGCCTGACAACCAGGGGGCTGTTTTCTAGTCCAGTGCAATGGTTTCCAAGCATCAGGTGAAGGAGAGCCTGCGCTGGACTCACCTGTGACAGGAGAAGGGGTATGATTCAAGATGCAGATTCCTGGGCCCCAACTCAGAGACTTTATTCAGTAGGATCATACAAAACTCAGTACTCTTGTGTTTTAAAAAAAAAAAAAGCTCTCTGGAGGTGACTCAGATGTGTAGCAAGATGCATACTTCACTGCTGAGACCTGTGCCCATCAGACCCCACCCCTGGGGGTGAGCCAGTGAGGGGCCAAGTGTCCACAGTAGTACCAGGAGGGCTGCCTCAGGCGGAGGCCTTGCTTCTAGGTCACAGAACGTCAGTTAGTGAGTCTGGCACCTACTCCTCCCCCATCCTGGCTGGATGTCCCTGTAGAGGTATGTCTGGCTTAATAGTGGGGAGCTCCTTGCTTCCGCCACATTTGGAGAGGTGAGTCCCCTGATTTGCACTTCGTCTATTTTTGGCTGCAGGCTGTGCATCAGAGATACACTCACCCCTCTCATCCTGTTAGGTGTCACTTCCTCCTCTCCCACAGTTGTCTCCCCTGTTATCAACTGGAGAGGAAACCAATTTTCACTCAAGTACTTCTAATTGAACATGAGTTTCCTAATTAGTTTAATTAGTTTCCTAATTAAATTAGTTTTCTAATTAAATACCAGGGCTTTCCCCCCTGAGATCTCTGGGCTCTGACAGCCACGTTTGCAGAATTTGGAGGGATCTTTGAAGTCATCTAGTCTACCTCTCACTAGGGACCCCCCCCAGCCCCCACTGCCTATCACTGAAAGACAAACGTTTTTCGAAAGGAAATATATTCTGAAGATGAGCTCTGTGCTGCATCACCAGGCTCTTTGCTGGGATCACACTCTGCTCCTGGTTTATACTATGTGCTCTCAAAGGGGGAAAGTACCATCCCCAAGGACATAAAAATTTGTGATTTTAGATATTGCAATGGATTGTGGCTTTCCAAGAGGCCACAGGACATAAAACAGATAGACAGTATATCTAGGTATTAATTATTCATGGGGGAATATGATGACAGAACACGTTGAGAAGCTTCCTTAGGGAGGACAAAAATGAGAAAGGGGCTGAGAAACACTGGTTTATGCAAAAAAGAGTCTGTGTCTCTGGGAAGTTATAATTATGCCATGTCATCTACACCCTTTTAATCTGCCTCTTCTGTGTTTAATTAAGGACAAAGGAATCAAAGGTAAAATTTGGACACACAGATGTTAGTCTCTCCAGCTGTTCACTGGGAATGACCCCATTTGCCCTGACTTCTGCAGCTGGGGTGAGCCCTCCCCTCTAGTTCCACAGCTCTGGTCATTTGTTCTACACGTCTGGTGTTTCACCCTTAGCATGAGTGACCTTGCATCATTTGAATGTATCTGTTCTGTCTTTGTAACTAGATTAAAAGCATTTCATGGTAGAGACCACGTGTTTATGCGATAGCTCATTCAGGAATTCATACATTCATCAAACATCCATTGCGCACCTCCAGGCATGAGGCTAGATTCTAGAGACAAGACAGGACATGGTCTCCGACTTCAAAGACTTCCGAGTGAATGGAGAGTGGTGAAACAGCACGACAAGTGTAATTCTAGAGACGTGTGGACGTTGCATGGAGAGGGCTCCTTCCCGGTTGAGAGGAGACAGTGCTTGAGCTGGGTCTTAAAGGAAAAGCAGAGTTTCTCAGACAGGGGAAAAATGTGTAATGCGAAGACCATTCCAGACCGAGCTGGAAGCTTCCGACATGACTGGAGAAAATGGTACAAGGGGAAAGGGACCGGAAATGAGGCCAGGGCAAACCATGAGGGGCCTTGAAGCTCGTGCTAAGGGCCTGGATTTTATTCAGTCAACGGGATGCGACTGGAGAATTTAAATTAGCCAGGGGCATGACTCCCTCTCTATTCCCAAAGCTCGCTCTGGTTGCAGTGTGGTAGGAATCGATGAGGATTGGAACCTGGTTAAGAGATGCTGCAACAATGCAGGGTTGGTAATGGCTGACCAAGGGCAGTGGGTGAGAGGAGGTGGGAGGAACTGACCAGAGGAGTTAATTAGGAAAGAGAATCTGGAGAACTTGTTAATTAATAAATAGGCTGTGGAGCTGAGTGAAAACTGGTACCACTACTTTGAAGGGACATGTATTAGCACCTGTTAAAACTGAAATAGGAAATACTAGTCTATAATTCAGAAATTAATTTATGGTTATCTACCCTAAAGAAGAATATTTATTCAGCATTGTTTGTTTTTTTAAAAATCGGATAGACCAATGCACGCATCAATAAGGAACTAGATAAAGAGTGTGATGGGAAAAGGAGCAAGCAGAGCTTCTATATAAAAAAATGGTTCTGTCTCCATCACAGTATATGACTGACTGAAAAAAGTCAGTTGTAGAATAATGCATGTTGAGTGTGATGTCCTAGAGAAAAGCTCACTTTGGCATTTGAGAGAGTGCCTTTGCAAACAGCTAACTTCCTACCTCCTCACTCCAAAGCAGCTCTGTTTGGCACCAAGTCTCACCCACACAGCACTTTTACTCTGTCTTCTTGTTTCTTAAAAAAAAAATGAACATTGAGTAAATACAAAATAACATTTATATAATGCACGGACCCTACAGAGGTGGGATACAACCCTCTTGTGCTCACCACACACCGTGAGAACAGGAAAACACCGCCATGATTTTCAATGTCTTGTGTGTCCCTCTCATATCTATCTCGTCCCTTCCCTCTCAGAGGTGACTGTTTTCCTGAATTTTGTTTATGGTTCCACATATGTGTTCACATCGTTCAGTTTTGTGTGGTTTTGAACTTTATATATAATCATCCAGTATGTATTATTTTGTGACATTCTTTTTTCACCCAAAATTATTGTTTTGAGGTTCCATGTTTGTATTAGTCAAGGTTCTCCAGAGAAATAGAACCAGTAGGAGACATATATAAAGAGATTTGTCATGAGGAAGTGGCTCACGCAATCATGGAGTCTGAGAAGTCCCGCCACACGCTCTCTCCAGGAAGGTCAATGGTATCGTTCCAGTCTGAGTGTAACGTCTACTTTATTCATTTGACATAAATCCAGTGCAACAGCAGAAGACCCGTGACCCAGCTCAGTAGACAAGCAGGAAAAAAAAAAGGGGGGCAAATTCCTCTTTCCTCTGTCTTTTGTTCTTTTCAGGTCCTCAACAGATTAGATGAGACCCACTCACATTGGGCAGGCCATCTACTTTCCTCAGTTCACCAATCCAAATGCTAACCTCACAGACACCCCCAGAAATGATGTTTAATCTGGACGCTCTGTGCCCAGACAAGTTGACAGAAAACTAATCACCACAACGTTGTTATTGAATGTAGCTGTGATTTTCATTTTCACTCCCCTATGGTATTATTTTATTTTATGAATATTTTATAAATTTATCTGTGCATTTAAATAGTGAAGGACACTTTGAGTATTTCTGTTCCTTTCTGCCAATTATAAACAGTGCTGTTGTGGGCATTCCTGAGTTACTATACGCTATGTGCAAGTAAGAATGTGTTGTCTTCGACTTCACTATCTCATGTCGTACGTTGCCAAATTCTTTCCCAAAGCGGTTGTATTAACTTACATCCCCCCTCATAATGTATTAATTATTCTATTTCTTTCACATTTTCAGACTATTTTCAGGCTATTTTTGTCAGTCTGTTAGGTGTAAAATGATAGTTAGCAAGTAAATGAGGGGACCTCAGTCCTACAACCACAAGGAACCAAATTCTGCAATAACCCTATCAGCTTGGAAGAGAACCCTGAGCTTCAGAATGAAACGCAGCCTGGCTGAAACCATGATCACACTTGGTGAGACTCTTGAGCAGAGGACCCAGCAAAGCTGTGCCTGCATCCTGACCCACAGAAACTGAGAATAAATGTATATTGTTTTAAGCACTAATTTTGTGTTAATCAGTTATACAACAACAGGTAACCAATACAATATGGATCCGTGGAGAAGGAGATATAAGCCGAATACACTGCTTGTTTCTGCAGTGAACAGAAGTCATTCAGTCCGTGAAAAGGCTGAGAGCTGTTGTCTTTGGTTAAAAAAAATCTGGTGAAGGGCTTAGGTTGCCCTGCTGGGTCATGCACTCATCTCGTGGCCACTCCGTGGCTAGGAATGCAGAATTTGTTGGAAGATGATAGCTTCCATCTAACCCAGATGGTTTAGGGGGACACTTCCCAGAAGAGGGAAGCTTTCACAATCAAAACGATAGATTTCTACCATGCCAATTCAATTAGAAAAGGCAATTAGAAAAGACAAAAATATATCTAAAAGGACACAATTTTCCCCCTTATTTACAGATAACATGATTACATACAATCATTCGAAAATTAGTAAGAAAAGTATGTAAATGCAACAAGATGGTGCATATAAAGATCAACATAAAAGTATAGTTTCTTATATCAGTAAAAGTTATAAAATAAAATGGAAGGTGCATTCATAGTAGCAACAAAAGACAAATAAACCAAAATGGAAACCCATAAAATCAACGTAAAACATAATAAATTTGAGACATTCCCTGTCCTTGATTGACTGTCATGAAGGGGTAATATGACCAATAAATGCTTCTTTCATGAGAGGAAATATTTGATGGTTAATTCACATGAAGTTTACTAGCTTAATAGGACCTTCTTTCCTATCAGTACGTACATTTTACTCAGTGTTTCTCAAAATTTGGGATGCATAAGAATTACCTGGGATGTTTACTGAAAGGCTTATTGTAAGACACCAGCCCAAGAGATTTCAAATCAGTACCTCTGAGTAGAACCTACTTATCTGCATTTTAACTTGAAAAAACACTGAAACCCAAGGAAAGGAATCTCAGATGGTGGCATCTCAGTCCTGTCTGGAAAGGAGCAGAAGAGATTCTCAGGAGTGAACTGGCTCCCTCAAGTAACATCAGAGTCACTGGGCTGCGTGTGTTTCCTTGTGGCTCTTAAGACTGCTTGTACCCAGAAGAATATACTCGTACCTCGTGTTTGTGTGAGGCAACCTGTGTGTCCTCCCCCGTTGTCTCTGAGTTGTTCCTTCCGTTCTGTGAATCTGGGGGAAAGTAAGGAAGGTAGAGACCACATCAGGGACCAGTGGGGGGAGAGGCATGGTCTCTGAGAAGGGCAGATGCCAGGCGTTGTGCTGGAGAATATGCTTATTTCACCATTTGGCAATGGTTGGTTAGCCATCAGTGAACCAAGCAGAAGACCAGAACGGAAACCAGGACACTCACCCCACCGTAAGTTTGGGCCTTCTCCAAAACCATTTCCCTTCTGCATGTGCATGCAATGAGCTGAATATAAGCAGACTCCGAGAAGCTCCCTCCACACCCTAGAGCCCAGCACGGACGTTCCCCGAGCCTCTTGCTTCTGCTTGTGGTCAGACCTACCTTCAGTTCCATGGGAGGCTTCGAGGGTCATCTGTACCCAGGACTGTCCCTCTTCTTCTATGGACTTTATCACGCACGACTCGTCTCCAGGGCCTTGATATGCAGCCAGCCTGCCCAGTACCCGCCACGCCCTCCCTGGAGCAAAGGCAGATGGGCAAGGCTACAGCAGGTTCACTACGTGGGGCTGCTGAAGATACTGAGCACCTTCGTTCTAGTGGCCCAAGAGCTGCATAACATTTCTGGGCCGTTTGTACTCATCAGGAAGACGTACCACGCGAGAGACTTCCTGTACTGCAAGCAGTGGCAGCACCTCACCATATACACGACCTTCGTCCTGAGCGGCTGTGTCGACGCGGTGAGCCAGAACCTGCTGCCCCGCAGGAGTGCCGCGCTGGAGCAGGCCGCCCAGGCCCTGGGCCTGGCTCTGATCCTGCCCCTGATGCTGTCTCACTTGCAGGGCTCGGAAGGCGTGGACCTGCAGTCCCACCTCCTGTTCATCCAGGCCCTGTTCCTGCTGGTGCTGGTGGCGGTTGCCGAGCTGTGGGCTCCCGACGCGTGGCAGCTCCGGGTGATGAAGGCCTTTCTGTACATGCTTACGGGCTCTTGGCTGATCCAGATAGGCTTCATGCTCTACAGACCGATTTCCGGCCATAAGTGGATGGATGATGACAAAAACAATATTATGTTTGTCACCACCTTCTTCTGCTGGCATGTGGTCGTCCTCGCCTTTTTGATGGCCGGGATCCACGGCGTCTCCTTTTTGTGGTATCGCTACACGTGCTAATGCCTGAACCAGGTGAGCCCGGAGTGGCTGCTGTCACCTGCACACGCTGGGACACCTGGAGGAGGACTTGCCGGAGGTGGAGCTGCAGGGAGGGACACCAGGTGTCCTTCCTCCAGAGGGCGCTCCCGAGCCAGCCGACTCTGCGGGGAGGGGCATCCCTCTCTCTCCCGCTTCTTGGCTCCCCTCTGTCTCGTTTGCTGAGCAGTGTGCGGAGAAAAGGCCAATGGAGCCCAGGAGGCATGTGACTCGGACCTTCGCTTTCAACTCCCCAAGTATTTCCCCCAACGCCCCTCAGCTGTCCTCAGCTCCAGCCACTGCCGTCTGCTGGCCCTTCCCCTTTCTCCCCGCCCCTGCCCCCCTTACTCCCCCCTCCCTGGTAGAGCATGAAAGTAAATGTACTATATCCTGCCTTTGGGTTTTTATACATACTCCTTGCCCACCGCATGGAATACTGACATATGATCCTAAGAATTTACATTCTTTAGTCCAATTTACCCATCATACAAACCACCTCCTCATCCTTTCCCTTCCCAGGTCTCTTCAGTACTCATACTAAATCCGAACTATCATTTTAACCATCTAGAACTCACAGAACTGTTACTGAGGTCTTTCTTTTTTTTTTTATTACTTTATGGTTTATCTAACAGAAAGTCAGATTCTTTTTTTTTTAGCTTTGTGGAGGTACACTTAATGCACAAGCAATTGTGCAAATTTAATGTATACATTTTGGTGAGTTTGAGCATCTCTGTACTGTGAGACCATCACCAGAATCCTTAAAGGCAGTTTCCTCTGCAGAGTCCAGTAGAACAGACCAGCATCCTGCACATAGTGAGGGCGCAGAGGGTATGTCTCCTTCTAGAATTTCTCCACCCCTGTCTCCCCAAGTGTAGAGTCTGCCAGATTCTTCTGCCTGGGTAGATCAACCCATTGCTCTGCACACACTTCAATTTCCAAGTAAGACTCACCTGGACCTGCTCCTTTCTGGTTCTCATATCACATAAAAGCCAATGGTTTGCTTATTCTGCACACTTTTCTCTCTAATCCTCACAACTCTTCTCTGAGCTAGGCTTACAGATGGTGATCTAAAACTTCAAGTCTTAGGAAACTGGCTTAAAGTAGCTAGACATTCAGCCATGTCACATAACACTCTGGCTGGGAGTATGTCATACGTGCCATCTGTATGTCACAGGGAGTGGCCTTCTGAGAGGCAGAGTTAAATTCCTGGGGACTTGCAAAAAAAGTGTCTTTCTGCCACCTGTTCTGCTCCCCTCCTTGCCATCCCCAGGATACAGAGAATCTGTTAAGCTTCCCTTGCTCGGGGTCACAGCTAAAAACATCCATGCTTAGGACAGAGTGAGGCTGGGGCAGGGATTCCAGAGGGCCATCATCTTTCTACTTTCCCCTTTGCTTCTAGTCCCTAGGAAAACCAGGGGTAGCCCTCTTCCTCTGGTTCTGGCCCTGTGCTTCCTTGTTAATTTTCTCATTCAGAAGTTAAGGGGTAGCAGGGGTGAATTGTTATCCAGCTGTTAAGGGCAGCTCCCCTCTGGTCTGGGGGGCTGGCGAACATCCTGAGTTATTACAAAGGAAGGAGGTGCCTGCCGGTGTTACTCACAGGGGGCGCAGCGATGTCTTGGAACGCCGCCTGGCGGGCACACGCTGGACGTCGAGCGTGTGACCAGCAGGCGGCTCTCCACGGAAGGCTTACCCCTTGCACCGGCGGGATGACCCACTGGAGATGGGCAGTGGTCCCCGGGGCAGAAATAAAATCTTCCCCCCACATTGATTCAGCTTCGGCGCTTCTCCTTGCTCCGGATGACGTCGGAGCTCCGCACTGTCCCCTGGAGGTCCTGCCCTGTTCCTGCTCGTCACCTCTGGGGCCCGTCCCTTTGTTTCTCGCCCACCACCGTGGGTACCTTTTCAGGCCTTGCCCAGACTTACGGCTCCTCCGTCCCGTGGCCCAGTTGAAACTCCTCTAGAGCCCTGAGGTTCGGGTGGTAAGGAATCCCTTTTCCTCTGTACTCTTTCCTAGTGATTTGTCAAAACTATTCTCTACTTCACTCAGGCCTCCTCTTTTTCATATTAAAAGTATATTTTGTTGTTGTCTTTTTTAAGCCTTAAAATTGACTCTTTTTTTTGCTATTACAATCTGGCCTCATCTTGAGGTCATTAATTAGGAGATAAGCTTTTATACACAAGGACAGAAAAACAAATCCCAAATATGAATATTTCAAGGTGTTGTCTCTCCCCAGCCGTAGAAGCTGAGGAGATGCCAAAGCCACCTCTTGGTGGATGTGTCCCGTTTCCGAGTACTTTTGAGGTCCTCTCAGATACCAATGAGCTCATCTCCTGTAGTAAATTAATGCCTTCAAATATTATTATGTATCACAACATACATCTTTGAGGTAAAATAATAAATTTTAGCAGGGGCCTTCAAGGCCACAAAGGATTATTCCTGAGGCCTGATGGTGGAACGGACAGGCCTGCTGTTTGGGTGATAAGGACCTTTCTGTATTCCTCACATCACAGTACGTACGAGCACTCTGCTAGGAATCCTAATCACATAGAATGTAAAACCAACCAAAGATAAATCCAGGAGAGAAGAAAAAAAAAAAACTAAAATAAAAACCCAAATGGAGTTTTAGAGAAAAAAGTGTAATCTTTACCACCATCCACCAGAGGGCACCATGTTTCCATGAACTGGGAAAGGGCCCGTGGGCTCCATTTGTACTAAGCATCAATTTAAAAGAAATGCAGGAAGGGTGAAGAGGAGGATAGAAAAACACATAAGCAAGTGCTTTCCAAGCACCTAGTGAACATAATGAAGGTGGACGTGAATAAGCACAGAATTCAACTGATAGATGTAGGACACATATGTATAGATCACTATAGATACATAGATATACGGATACATAGATGTATAGATGCCTAGACAGAGATGAAGTATCTGTACGTACATAAATATATAGATATAGGAGTATGTGTGTACCTCAAAAACACAGCGGTGTCAAAATGCTTGAGCTAAAATGGCTACATTTTAACAATTCTATAAAAATCATCAAAATGTTCATTCAGCTCATCACATAACAGGCATGCAATAAATGGCTGATAAACGAGTAAATAAAGCAGCTAGTAACTTGGATGAAATGGCAGTTTAATTCTGATTTGGGTTTTGAGGGATAAATAGGAGTTTGTTACAGGAGTTCAGGGCAGGCATTCTGAGGTCTTGTACATTCCTATACTCATACGCCTGGCAGTGCAGTTCCAGTGATGGGATGTCATGGCCCGATGATACCAGAGAAGGCTGTTGAGTTCTTGCCCACGAGGAAGGGTGGCTAAGGAAGAGCCACACAAATTGTTTTATAGAAAGCTTGATAATTTGCTTTTCAAGTTAACGACAGAAGATTATTAATGGGCTCTTACAATGGAACATGGTGCCATTAACAACAACAAAATGCTTGCAATGGCTTGTATTATAATCAATATTCAATATACACATTTAATAAACTAATTATTAAGCTTTTTAAAACATTTTTTATTGAGTTATAGTCAGTTTACAATGTTGTGTCAATTTCCGGTGAAGAGCACAATTTTTCAGTTATACATGAACATACATATATTCATTGTCACATTCTTTTTCTGTGAGCTACCATAAGATCTTGTATATATTTCCCTGTGCTATACCGTATAATCTTGTCTATCTATTCTACATATGCCTGACAGTACCTACAAATTTTGAACTCCTACTCTGTCCCTTCCCACCCCCCTCCTCCTTGGCAACCACAAGTATGTATTCTATGTCTATGAGTCTGTTTCTGTTTTGTATTTATGTTCTTTTTTTTAGATTCCACTATGAGCGATCTCATATGGTATTTTTCTTTCTCTTTCTGGCTTACTTCACTTAGAATGACATTCTCTAGGGACATCCATGTTGCTGCAAATGGCGTTATGTTGTCGGTTTTTATGGCTGAGTAGTATTCCACTGTATAAATATACCACAACTTCTTTATCCAGTCACCTGTTGATGGACACTTAGGCTGTCTCCATGTCTTGGCTATTGTAAATAGTGCTGCTATGAACATTGGGGTGCAGGTGCCTTTTTGAAGTAGAGTTCCTTCTGGATATATGCCCAGGAGCGTGATTACTGGGTCATATGGTAATTATTAAGCTTTTAAACTTGGCATATGGAATTACTTAGAATTACTTATAAATGTAGTGATTTTATTTAAAATTGCTTTCACTTGTTCATTATTTTTCAATAGTATGGTACATTTGATACATAAGATTTTCCTAAACAGATACCATTTCCATATTTTTGTTAACTAAAATTCCTTTGACATTTCATATTATGAATTTAAAATATGATTTTAAAAAATACTTTACATACCTAACAAGGCAGTTTTATACACCTAACAAAGAAAATTCTAAGAACTTAAAAAGACTCTTGTAAATTTAATGTCATATTTTCAAATAAATGCAAAACAAAAATTTGGCATTTTATTCTAGAAAAAACAACATTCACAAGATATCAGATTTTTTTAAAGTATATTTGCATGAATAAAACTTAAACAAAGGGAAATATTTTTATATGCTTGGGTTTAAATTTACTCATCCAACCAAAAGATATAAAGTTAATGTCTCCAACTAGTTGGGGCTTCTTTGCCTGAAACTTGGAAGTCTCAAGTATATTTTAAGTTAACGAATATAGAACCAAGAAAGACCTTCCAAGGCTGACCCTACAACTGTTGGCTAGACTCCTTCATATGATCATACACATGAGAGTTCTTTTTTTTTTTTTTTAACCTTTGAGCAGGACTTAACCAATCACCAATCACAGAAGACTGTACTTCTTAATACTCAATTTCTTTCCCTGAAATGAATTGTTACACAGTTTATTTTAGTGGAAGACTTTCCAGTTTTTATTTTCTTTCTGTATTACTGCAGTACAGTTGCATCAAGACCTAATATGTAGCAATAGTATCTTGAACCCTTTGCTCAGAAGGAAAGTGCCCCTCTCTTGACTTTCAATCTTGTGTGTATTGCACTGACCACCGTTCTGAGGTCTTAGTGTTGAAATCTGTTTTACCCAAGAAGATCACAACAACAAGGGGTAAAACACAGGTTCTGGGTGCTGTGTCCTTCCCACAGGTGACTGACCAGGGGCCAAAGCAGACGCCAAGCTCTGAATCAGGAGGCGCTGTTCTGCCCAAGAGGCCTCCGTGGGCTGTCAATATTATATCGAAAGCTTTTATAAGTGAACACTGGAACAGTAAATGTGTTATTCGCTCAGTCTCTCCCTCACCCTCTTTCGCTGTCCTGACCCTTTGCTGAGACAATTTTTAGATCCTTGTATTTGTGCAGGACTTAAAGCTT